CTTTAATATCTGTTCCCTTCATCGTCCGATATTTTCGAAAGATTGGTCTCTTCAAACCCCCTCCTCAGGCCCATTAAACCAAAAAAAAGCTAAATATTGCTTTTTCTTAGAGAATTATATAAGTTTTAAAGAAATTATATGATCAAATGTATGAATAATACATTGTGAAACAAATATTGTATAGATTGTACAAGATAAATATTGTGTTGATGGTACAAGAGCAACAACAACAAAAAAAAACAACCATTCAACAAGATACCAAATCTTGTCTTATCTGGGTCGCAGTCGAATTAGCTGTGTTCGGGACATCGTCAAGATACAGAGAAATTAATGAAGCTTATCTACTAAACAATTAATTTAAAACCTGAATTGAAAAATTTAGATCAAACTTCTTTATAGTTACAGAGTTATTCACTACAATTTGAAACATCAGAAATTTACCATTGAATTGCAAAGTGAGGATCACAACAGCTGAGCTGGAAACAGTAGAATGGGATAGTTTTTCCATTTTGGCCTAAAAATTGAGCATTCCGGGTGAGTTCATGCCAGTTCAGTTTAGAGAATAATCCAGAATATTGGCCTATTTTAGCCAAAATTTTCGAGTTTAGCTTCCAGCTTACTGTCTAGTGAATAAGACCTAAAGGATGTTTCAGACAGGCTACGTGGTCTGAATAAATACGCCTTACACTAGAGCTAAATTAATCCTGTAATGTAAAATTGACAGTGCCTTGTTTGCAACGGATAATAAAGTTTTGTTGATTGTTCATTTAATTTACACTTGCAGCAGTTCCCATGGTTGGTAAAGATTCCTTAGAGACTGGCTCTCATTACTTGGCAGTGATGCAATCAGAAATTCACTATACCAACAGTGACAAGTAAATCAACATCAGTGATACAAATTCATTGTTTTGGATCACACTCCAATATAAGGAGTTGATGCTCAGAACCATACTGAGATTAGTCAAATATGTAACATCAGGGGAATTTGCACCTTGTATAGGTATCGCAGCATGAAAGTAAGCCTTAATTGCAAAAGGCTTATCTAGAAAGAAGAGCCTAAACTCTGTTATTATTATTATATGCATTTATATAGGGCCAACATGTTCTGTAGCGATTTACAATATTGTAAGAGGGGGAGATTTAGATGAGACAATTGCAAAAACTTACAGGATTAAGAGGACCCTGCTCAAATTAGTTTACGGTCTAGAGGATGTGGGATATAAAACAGGAAATAGCAATCAAACAAGGTGGGAGTAAAGCAGAGCTGGAGGAGAGAGTAGAGTGCTACCCTTTAGGAGAGAGCAAGAGACAGGTACGCGAGGTAGAGGTTACTTTGGGAGGCCGTGAGTTTTCCTGAAGAGGTGGGTTTTGAGGCACTTCTTAAACCATTGAAGAGTAGGGGAGAGTCTGATGGTGGTAGGCAGGCTGTTCCATAGGAAGGGAGCCGCCTGCGAGAAGTCCTGTAAGCGTGACTTGGCCATACGAGTGTCAGCAGCGGAAATAGAAGGTAATGGGCAGAATGGAGAGACCGAGAATGGGCATATCTATGAAGAGATATGAGGGTCTAGAACTACTCGGTGATTTTATAGCTTTGGATTAGTGTTATAAAATGTACTCCTATAGGATAGAGGAAGCCAATATAATAACTGACAGAGGGGAGGGGTGTAAGAGGACCGACTAGAGAGGAAAATCAGTCTGGAGGCAGCATTCATTACAGACTGTAGCAGGGCAGTATGGCTTCTGGGAAGACTGATTGGGAGAGGGTTACAGTAATCCATCCAAGAGCTTACTAGAGCATGGACAAGCTCCTTAGTAGCATCTTGCGAAAACAGGCAATGTATTTAAGGTGGAATCAAAAGGGTTTGGTAATACACTGGACGTGAGGCCAGAATCAAATATAATAGCACGCTTGCAAGGATGGGCTGATGTGGGTACCACCAACTTGAAGGGAGAGAGAAAGAGGAGGATCAGTAATAGGAGGAGGCAATACAAGAAGCTCAGTTTTAGAGACATTGAGTTTCAGAAAGTGGGAGGACATCCAATTAGAGATGGAAAAGCAAGCCATAACTTGGGTTTGTTTTTCATTTTTGTTTTTTTTCCCCCAACACCCTGGTAATCACTAAATCCTGGTCTGTTAAGTGTGCCTTCAGGAGAGGGTTGAGGAGCACTGCGTGGCAGGATGGCAGGGGAGAGGTCTGGGGAGAAGAGATCTATCTGGTCATCGGCATACAGGTGGTAGTGGAATCCAAATGAGCTAATAAATTTGCCAAGAGAGGCAGTATAAAGAGAAAATAAAAAGAGACCAAGAACAGAGCCTTGGGGGACTCCGACGGAGACAGGATGAAGGGAAAAGGTATGATTAGAAAATGAAACAATGAGCATTGGGAGAGAGGACAGTGTCACATAGACTGAGTGAAGAGTTTGGAGAAGGAGAACATGATAAACTGTGTCAGACAGCAGAGAGGTCAAAAAGAATTAGTACGGAGTAGTATCTTTGGATTTGCTTTGAGTTCTGGGAGTTAATAATGAATGCTTTTGCTTGGAGCCCAGTCTCTGCTTAGGCGTTTTTGCAGTACTTGGTAGCTTTGAGTTCTGGGAGTTACTAATACATGCAATTGTTTGGAGACCAGTCTCTGCTTAGTAACACCAAGCCTCAATAGCAAATAACCAACTTCATGCTGATTAGTTGCATTAACATCGAAATGGCTCTCCATGAGTGGTTATCTGGCTTTGCACCTATTCTTGAGGTACTGTATCTTTCAAAGCTGTTGTACACAACCAGGGCCGGTGCGTCTTATAGGCAACTTAGGCAGTCGCCTAGGGTGCACTGGCCTGGGGGGGCACAAGATTCGAGTGACCGGGCAGGGGGGAAGCGCACTGCGTTCGCTCCTGCCAGTCACTCAGTGTAGCGTGGCCAGGCGGCGTGGACAGCGGTACAGGACCTACCTGTAGCCAACTGGACTGAAAGGAAGTGCTCTCTCAGCACTTCCTGTTAGTCTGGCCTGGTAGATGTAACAAAAGCTCCTGTACCACGGTCCATGCTGCCCAGCCACGATACAAAGAGGTAGGAGGCACAATAGGGAAGGGATGGGAGATGGCATAAGGGACGGAGGGGAGGAGAGACCACTAAGGGACACTGGGGGAGGGAGGAGAGACCACTAAGGGACACTGGTGGGGGGGGGGGAGAGGCAGAAACAAAAAAGCAAAAATTCAAAAACTGAGAGTATAGAAAGTGAAAGGGATGGTAAAAAAACCAAAACCAATCTATAGGTGGAGCGCTCTAAGTGAATAAACTCACCCCACTCTTGGTCTATGTAAAATGACCTATACGTGGGGATAAAATGGACAATAATATGGTGTAGTATATTATAAATATTGTTGAAATTAATAGTGGAGAAAATAGAACCACTCACATGGTTCTGAGCCTTAACGGGACAGGCTCAGATCTCTCAAGTTGGCGTGTTTTAGGGTCACACGGAACCTATATGCAGGCAGGGAACTCTTGATACCTTCAATGGATGGAAACCAAAATATAGTGCAGTATATCAGCATAAATGTGATTACCAAGAAGTTGAAAATTGCTCACCTGGTTCAGAGCCTAAATCCTGGCTCTGAATGTATAACTTTATGTGTCAAAAAGGGGACACAAAACCCTTTAGGATAAATAGCAGGAACACAGGATACTGGAGTAAACAATGGATTGTAGGAAAAACAATTTATTGTAAAATATAGACTAGCTATATCGAAAATAAAAACTATATAAAAATACAGCATAAAAGAAATCCTTAGTCCTGTTACTCCTCCGAGACGCGTTTCGCCCAGCGGCTTTTTCAATCGGTGTATTCATCTGTGTTCCGGTTTTCTTTTTATATCTTCAAAAAGGCCTCCCTTGATTGCGGATGATCGGCGGCTGTATTGCGTAACGTCATTTCCGCTTACATCATCATCCAAAGCGGTCGCATTTCAGTTAGTTCGTGCACTTATGAGTCTTTAATCGCCATCTTGTTTGAGGGCGAAATGCGATCTTTATATGTACATCAAGAGTCTCTCACATAGAGACATCATAAAATATGAAGATAAATAGATATAAATAAGAAGGTTATTTGTATGAGACATTAGTGTAATATATAGCAGTATTTAAATAAACTTTATGCCTCTAACGATATCATTTGTATATTTCCTTTTCTTTAGCAGTTCTATTCGAAACGTAACCCTTCAATGTATATAGAGTATAAGTATGAGACAAACCACATTTAACATAATGTGTATATAGACCAATGGCTCAATTTGAATAAATATGGATTTTAAAAAGATAATATTCAGTCTATATACCATGGATAAGGTGGACTATCTAAAATCTAATATAGACATATATTCATATTTTAAGGTAACAGTAGCCTTTAATCACAGGTCATTATCACGTTTCTCTTAAAGGGATAGGGTTCGTTAAGTAAAAAACTAGAGAAAGAAGAAAATTTATACATTGATGCATATATATGTCAGTCCATGTGTCTTTATAGATAATGCTATTGATATAACACATACCTATCACTCCGCACTTGAAATATCATTATATTAACACTTAAAAGATGGGCTATGTAAACTTATATATTGGAGAATGAATGGGAATAGCATATGATAAAGTAGAAGATCTTGGAAGATCTATTACTTATGTATAAACTAAAAAAAGGGGGATTTACAGACAAGTTCCATCACAGGAAATGACACAATTCAAAATCATTGTTTAATCCGTGAGGTAACATGGTATTTAAATTGAAAATCCACCTCATTTCCATTTGGCCCAAAGATTGTATTAAAAACTGTGAGTATAATGCTGACTGGAGATAAAGACATAGGTACCAAAGCATCCAGTGGTATGGAACAATGTAACCAGAGGGAGACCACTAAATATCTGAAGTAACAGAAAGTATCAACATAGAAATAAATTGTGACTCCTAATAATAATAAATACCAAACTAGCTTTATAAAGCTACTCCCATGCCTAAGTAAATGAGGAGATAAAGTTACTAAACACCTAAGTCTGCAATATTCATATAGGCTTTATTAGTCCTGGCCCTTTAATACATAGGGTGTTAGTAAATCTCCCCTTAGTACCTAAGCACCAGAAAAAGTGCCAAACTGAGGAAGATCACTGTCTAAAAGATTGACAGCCCTAATAATAAAAAGTAGACAGACGGATAAAGTAAAATAAAGAAAGCCTTTTTCTTTGTGAGACTTACTAGATAGGCATAGAAGAAAAAAATGTAAATCATAAATCATAACAAACTCCCATGCCTAAGTAAGTGAGGAGATGAAGTTGCTAAACACCTAAGTCTGCAATATACATATAGGCTTAATTAGTCCTGGCCTTTTAATGCATAGGGTGTTAGTAGATCTCTCCTCAATTCTTGGGCACTTGTAAAAATGCTAAACGGGGGGGGGGCATGGCTACCAGCGGAGCAAGATTGCAGCTTAAAATTTTGCTCCTGCACTTGGGCTCTGAAAAACGGTGGCTTACTTCAGAAACCATTTCGGAGAACTGGGTGCTCGAACCTCCCACGTGGAGGAAAGGATGGAAGAGTGCCTGGAAGCACACAACCACTTGTCAAACCCTGCAAACTACTCTCCTCATGATGGAATACAAACTAATGGACATCGAGGATCGGGCATGCAGGAATAATCTGCGGTTACGAGATATTCCTGAAACAATAATGCCAGCTGATCTACAAGCTTACCTCCACAAATTCTTCCATGCACTATCACCTGAAACTCCGACTGCAATGTTACTGGACAGAGCACATCGAGTGCCTAAGCCTTGACACCTCCCGGTCTCTGTACTTCGAGATGTAATCTTGTGTTTCCACTATCATCACGTAAAGGAAAACCTGCTGAAGCAAAGCAGAATCCAAAAAAAATATACCAGATAAGTTTGTCAATGTCAAAGTGTTCCCGGATCTGTCGGCTGCAACATTGAGGAAAAGGAAGGCATTTCAATTAGAGTTGAGCGGACACCTGGATGTTCAGAACTTTGAAAAAACGTCCGGGTTCAGGCTCGAACTTGACCCCGATTCCGAACCCCATTGAAGTCAATGGGGACCTGAACTTTTGGGCAGAAAAATGCCTCTAAAAAAGTCCTGGAAAGGGCTAGAGGGCTGCAAAAGGAAGTAAAATGGGGGTAAGAGTAGGACAAGTGCCCTGCAAACAAATGTGGATAGGGAAAACGCTTATAATAACATAAAAATTTAAAATACAGCTGAGCCATAAAATAGCACTAGATGGAATCTTTGATTTTTGCTTTGGAAGAACATAACTCAAAATATAAAGCATGGGTGTCAGGAGGATCACCAGAATTATCCATTTGAGAGAGGGTTGGAGTGCAGGGTATTCTCTTTCATTGTTCAAACTGAGCTCAACTCCTGATGTATGGAGAAAAGGCCTCTCTTCTATTGTGTACATAGTTTATACTAAGTGACCCATAGGTCGAGGAGGCGGTGACCGTGGTGGTGTAGGTGGACGCAGCGGTGGAGGAGGTAGCCAACACTGTTTTTATATATATATATATATATATATATATTTTTTTTTTTTTTTAATTTTTTTTTTTTACTTTGGGTGGCCCCCAAAATATTGGGACATATAAAAAAAGAAACATTTGCGGACTGCGGTGCATTTCTTGCAGTTCTGATGCATGGAGAAAAGGCCTTCACAAGCCTCTGCTATTGTGTACATCGTTTATACTAAGTGACCCATAGGTTGAGGAGGTGGTGACCGCGGTGGTGGAGGAGGTAGCCAACACTGTTTTTTATATATATATATATATATATATATATATATATATATATATATATATATTTATTATTTTTTTTTTTATTTGAGGTAGCCCCCAAAATATTGGGACATATAAAAAAAAGAAAACTCTGTTCCACAGAGTGACTGACCCGTGCGTGCTGCAGCTGAAACTCCACTATCACCTGCTGCTGCTCGCACAGTCTCATGAGGCGGTGAGCGGGAAGGCCAAAGTTATGCTGCAGCGCAGACAGGCGAGCAGCAGCAGGGGGAGAATGCCGAAAGCGCCACAGACGGCCCGCACTTTCTGCAGCAACTCTGATATATCTGGGTAGTTTTTCAGGAATTTCTGCACCACCAAATTCAGCACATGCGCCAGGCAAGGGATGTGCGTCAAACAGGCGAGGCCCACAGCTGCTACGAGATTTCGCCCATTATCGCACACCACCAGGCTGGGCTTGAGGCTCAGGGGTAACAACCACTCCGGTCTGTTGTTCCATGCCTGTCCACAGCTCCTGCGCGGTGTGGGTTTTTTCCCCCAAACATATGAGTTTTAAAACAGCCTGCTGTCGTTTCCCCCTGGCTGTGCTGAAGTTGGTGGTGAATGTGTTACGCTGACCGGATGAGGAGGTGGTAGAGGAGGAGGAAACGGAGTAGGAGGCAACAGGAGGCAAAGCTGTGTACCCAAATAAAGATTGTCAAACGTTGTATCCTGGAACTGTGTCCCATCCAGTTACTGGGGAAATGGGTCTGGCCTATTCTAATCAAAGGGGATAACCTTAGGTTACCTAGGTCCCGCTTCAATTGGTGGCAAGCGACGGGATCCCATGTCCCTGCCAACTGACCCATGGACTACAGTGCTCTAAAGCGACCTACACTGCAGGACTTGTGTGGAGCCAGAGGAATAATGCCTGGTGGGCGTAACAAGGCCGAATTGACTACTGCGCTCATGGAGGACGACCAGGCATGCAGTGAGGTAACGAACCCCAGCCAGGGGTCGGAGATGAGGAGGAAGTGCGCAAGGCGGTGTAACGGCGCCTGGCATATTACCGGGAGCCACCCTCAGAGGAGATTGTCAGCAGAACCTTTTTGGAGGTGCAAGCCTATGTCATTGCCAATAGACAGAGGGTGACCTCCATGAACCCAGATGAAGGAAGAAGGGAGCAGAGGGCGCCGGGGAGCACAACCACCCTGGCCCATAAGCTACCATACAATGCCTTCAAAGACTTCAAGGAAGCAGAAGAAGGCATTGATGACTTTTTACAAGACTTTGAGTGCCTACGCCAAGACGTGGACCCCAGCAACTGGGTCACCATCCCGGCCAGCAAACTAGTGGGGAAGGCAGCGGATATTTACCGGGCTGTACCAGAAGAGCAGATCAGAGACTAGCCCTTTATTCCCCAAATCCTCCTGGCCCGAGCAATCCAGCCGAAAGTTTAGGTAGACCCGGAAAGGGGAGAAGGACTCCCATGCGGAGTGGGCATGCCGCATCACAAGGGCCACCCAGAACTGGCTCAACTACCATCAAGCCAAGTTCCCGGAGGAGATCACCGAGCTCGTCATGCTAGAGCACTTTTTCAATGGGCTCCCCAACGACAATGTGACAAAACATTCGTATGTCATCCATATCAACTTTTGATGCCATTTACTGCGCCTACCATGGTGACCACGGGTAACGGGGAATCAGGGTTCGATTCAGGAGAGGGAGCCTGAGAAATGACTACCACATGCAAGGAAGGCAGCGGGCGCGCAAATGACCCACTCCCGATGCAGGAAGGTAGTGACGACAAATAACAATACAGAGGCCCTGTAATTGTAATGAGTCCACTTGAAATCCTTTAACTCTGATCAATTGGAGGGAAGTCTGGTGCAGAGCCACTCCCGTGCGTGCTGCAGCTGAAACACCACTATCGCCTGCTGCTGCTCGCACAGTCTCTCCAGCATGTGCAAGGTGGAGTTCCACCTTGTGGGAACGTCGCATATGAGGCGGTGAGCGGGAAGGCCAAAGTTACGATGCAGCGCAGACAGGAGAGCAGCAGCAGGGTGAGAACGCCGAAAGCGCGCACAGCCGCTACAGTGAATGTCACATCCTGTTCCAAGTTGCGGATCAGTCTGGTGATGGCTTCTGGTATCAAGTACTCTTTTTACTGAAGCTGCATCAGGGTCCTGGTATGTGGTCGCACAAACGCTGGTGCTCAACTTCAGGGGGCGTGCGGTTACCCTGCACCAGACCTTGCTAATCCATTCCACACTGTGACTCCTAACTTCAACATCAGGTATACTGGGTCCCAGTCGTACGACCGCCACCCAGACAGTGTCTGCGTCCCGGTCACCGGACCTCGAAACTGCGAATGGCTTGTTAAATCTGTTATGGTTCTTTTTATCGCTTCAACTGTTACTTGGATAACTGTGGGAATTCTAAAGATAATACATGCCGACGAGCACTAGGGGACGACCGCTCCGCTCTGGCACCCTGCTCCCTCTTATGCTGTGCTGGTGCCCCTGTGCGACCAGTGCCTCTTCCTCCAAACTGCACACGTCACTCGCATGACCGTGATTTCATGTGGGGTCTAGGACCTCATCATCCTCCACATCATCTTCCACCCACTCCTCAACCCTGCCCTCCTTGCCGGTCTGCACACTGCAGAAAGCCACAGCAGTTGGCACCTGTGTTTTTCCAGCATGTAAAGTCTGCAAAGTACATATGGAAATTGTTTTAGAATTGTATCCAGGCAACAATTTTCCCTATAAACTGACCTCTCAGTTTGACTTGTGAGGGTATTGCCCCTGAATTACAATATTGTTATATTGGTATTTGACGGTTCTATGTGACTGTCAGATATGAAGTGCACACCCCAAATTTACTTTTTATTACCCAAAACAATTAAAATTTTTCAAAGTGCGCTGAAAGCACAGTATTTGACGGTTCTATTTGACTCTCAGATATGAAGTGCACACCTCCAAATTTACTTTTTATCACCCAAAACAATCTGAATTTTTCAAAGTGCGCTGAAAGCAAAGTATTTGACGGTCCTATTTGACTCTCAGATATGAAGTCCACCGCAGGCCGCAAATGTACTATTTAGCAGCCAAAAAATGTGAATGTTTAAAAATGCTATGTTACAGCACTATTTGACTCTCAGATATGAAGAGCACGCCCCAAATTTACTATTTAGCAGATTAGCACCCAGAAAATAAGAATGTTTACAATTGCGCTATAACCGCAGTATTTGATGCTTCTATTTGACTCTCAGATATGAAGTGCACCCCACTAATGTACTTTTTAGCACCCCCAAAAAATTGACTTTTTAAAACTCCGATGTAACCGCAGTTTTTGACGCTCAGATATGAAGTGCACCCCACTAATGTACTAGTTTGCAGAATTCTTTCCTAATCTGTCCCTAACAGCTGCAGCATCCTGTCCCTACACTAATAAGAGCTCATGTGCGTGCGGTGCTACGCGACTCCAGCTTATATATAGAGGCTGGATCACATGCTGCACTGGCCAACCACAGCCATGCCATTAGTAGGCATTGCTGTGATGGCTTCTAAGGGCACACGAGTCAAAC